GGTGACGAAGGATGCGGCGTATGCAGTCATTGTCAAACACCTCAAGGTGCCTTTTGTCCTCAACGCGCATAGGCCATGTCCCTCCGCCATAGAGCCATAGTGATAATAAGCTCGCGTTGCACCTACCGCACTCTCTTATCTCATCCTCATGTGCTCGGTGTCACGGCAAAGCCAGGAAGGCCGGAGGCGTAATCGGGGTGATATGGCACGAACCCGTGTCTAGTCGCACTATCGCTCTGGTCCACGCAGAATAGGCGAGGATTTTACACAACAAGAAATAGGGGTGGCTCGGATCCTACTGAGTGGGAATGGGAGTGGCTCCTACACAAAAAGCTAAGGTTTTGCACAACGGGGATGTACTGTTCCGATCTTACATGCGTAAGAGCGCCGTAGAGACTACGTGGAGAAGAAGTCAAAGAACGTGATTCCCACTCGCGTGTGATGTGCCAATTTCTTCTTTTGATGCGTGATGAGACGGGCTCATGCGTGGTTTATGGGCTGGTAAATTATGTAGCGATAGTGTTTGACGGACAGTGTTTTCCGCAAGTTTTCGTGGATGCGCGTGTGGCTTATAAAGCTTATGCGTTGTCAGACTCTGTGTCGACAGTTAGGGCGGATGCGGTGGCACTGTTTCGTCAATATTTGTGCGATTTACTCGTAGATAACCAATTAGACCGACTTGTGACGTGCATATACGGTTCTACTGTGAACAAAATAATTTGAGAATGGTTGAGTCGATTGCGATGGTGATTCTGCCACTTTCCACTGTGCTGGCGGAGAGGGAGTTTGTACTATTGGATTTGCAAGTACTTGTTACTTAGCGCTGTTAATACTACATGACGATAATATTGATGAAGTCACATCAAAGGCAAATTATCTGCCCAGCCTTCTGATACCTATGGAATCCACCTATTTTTATGCAGTAAGCTAACTCCCCAAGAAGGATTTCCTAAACAATCAATTTTGGCGCCCTCTGCTGACTGCCAAGCTTAATTAGTCGATGTTTTGACAGATTTTAATAATTCAGTTGTGAAAAACTCAGCGTCAAATACCTTATTCAAATCTGTCAAAACACCCTTCAGTCAAAACTGTCAAGCAATACTTATGTCATTGGCACCTGCTTTAAACAATAAACACACGTTCCAATAATTTTCGCAAGCTTCGGTTAACTACCCTTACGCGTTTCTTATTTTCCTTTCGATTTTTCCTATTCATTTTCTTAAGTACCCGAGTGAAAATGTCTTCGAAAGTGCCGTTGGTCACTCCCCCTCTCCTTCCTTCTTCTCATCCCCCCTCAATTATTCAAGTCGTATACATATCATTTAGACGTCATTTTTGATCTCTTTAAAAGCGAGAACCCATTGGACGTGACTTACATATCGAAGGTCCTATCATGTTGAGGCCAAGGGCACTGGCCTCAGCTCTGGCGAAGGTCAATACAGGTGGCGTACAGTCAATTATGCTCTTCAGCACTGAGGGCGTCCTCCTCACACATACCGGCGTCATTGATGAGAATGAGAAGACAAAGGCAGCCATTGTTGCGAACATTTGGAACATTTACCAGAAACAACTAGAACTGAGCGAATGCGTAAGTTTAACCTTGTGCTAACAGACTACCAGTGTTCATTTCGTTTTCTCTTTTCGGGTTGTAGTTTATATTCAGCAGTAACTGATACGAACAGTTAGATTCATACCCTCTCTGTAAGGCAGCCAGGGTGCTCAAGTTATTATATTCTCTCCGTGTACCTCAAGGAAACAGTGGTATACTTAGTGGCATCCGTCAATTATGCTACTTTTTTCAAAACTGATTTACTTCCTACTCTGGCGTCGCTGTATAAGCCTCTGGCAGCAAAGTACTCTCTACAAAACCTGCTAATCAATGCCATATCATTTGATATAAAATATAAATGTTTCGACTGAGCCCCATTGATTCTGCTCTAGATATGGTTCTCAACACGAAGCATTTCTCGAAACGTAAGGGGGTGGGGGGTCGATACCAAAACAAAGGCGTTACGACCATTTGTCAGCCTTGACCATCTTACTAGCCAAGACGATAGCCAACCAGCGTCTGCTTCCAATCTGCAATTTGAAGCCTTGTCAGTAGTATGGTAATCCTCTGTTATCTGGCATTGCCGAATACTCACCTACATCATAGGGCGTTTTTGGTCTTTGAAAGACTACTTTTTATGATTTATAGGAGACAGTGCAAGAAATAATCATCGAGCTGACTCGTGGAAGACTGGTTTTTACCAAGGTCGCATCCATTTTGATCTGCATTCACGGCTCCAAGGATATTGGCCTGGGCTTGCTGAGGACGAAGATTAACTCTCTGGTCGAGAACCTCCAGGGCCCACTGTCTTTTCTCACTTCTTAGAACCTGCTCATTACTGCTGTCATGAT